AAAAAGAAGTCAAACCAGGCAGAGATTCCGCACCATGGGTGGGGTAGTGTTCACTTAGGCACACCTGACTTTAAATAGCACGATACAACCAAGCTAGTGCTATCAATAAACACGTGTGAAGAGGAAAGTGTTTTTCGCAATATGTGTTTCCTTTCAGAAAGGCTCCAGGCTGGTCTATGTATACGAAAGAGGTAAGAAGTTAGTCTCGCACACACAAAGACTAAGGTTTGCCTGTATGGTTGTAAGAAATGTTTTTAATTGCCCAAAGCATCACTTCTGCTGTGCTTAGAAGCAGTGCCTTCCATCATCCTTGAACAAGTGGCAGGGCCGATCAGTCATACAATCGATCGCCATAAAAATACGGCAACCACCACCAAAAAACCCCAAACCACTGCTGGTTAATGCAATACACTTAAAAATAGTAAACCACAGAATAACAAGCTTTCTTTAACCAGCCATGTTCCAGGACACAGCTTTTCCCTATCCCTCCCCACCAGTCATGAAACAAATCCTACCACGCAACCGGCAAGGAGGTTGTCTTTCTCGGGCTTCAGAACAGCAAGTGACTGAGTCGTGAGGGGGCACAGGAGGCCTTAGGGCTAGTGCACAGTCAAACCCTCTCTGAGCGGGAACAACCCTGCTGTAAGTTGTCATGCTGCACAGGAAATTTAGCAGTACCACAGTTAGGAAGAACAGCTTTTGTCATCCTGCCAGTGCCTTTGTGGGGGAAGCTGACAGCGATCTAAGGCTCCAGAGGGAGAGACACACCGACACACAGCTGCAGAAAAAGCTTAAGAGGGGCAGACTACAGCTGGCAAGGGGAAGGAAGGAGGGCAGGCAGGGATCCTTCATCAGCTTTCACAGAGATTATGCGTTCCAGGTTTCTGAAGGCACATCATAAGCTTAGCAGCATTTGGGAGCCATTGTTTCTTGCTGGTCCTACTCAGAGGCTGCAGAGTGAAGCAGGGGTGAGCTGGAGGTGCTGATCACAATTTAAGAAAAATGGTCAAATTTGTGCTCCTTTCCCAAAATTACATGCTCTCACAGCTCAGTATGCCTTTCTTTCCTAGGAAAAAAATAATAATAAAAAAATCATCAAGTAGTCTAACAGCTGTAGAGCCTACCTGTTGCTTACTAGAAAGGAGTAGGGGAACCAGGGCAAGTGCAAGGCAAGTCCATCCCAATCCACAAGGACAAAAATCACGGATGCCAGGTTCTCCTCCTGTATGAACGGGTTACGTCAGTTAAATTTAAAACTAAATACAGGCAGTTTAGAGGGACAGCTCAGGTTTCTAAGCTGGCAGAAGCCAGCACTGTCTGATGATGCCCAGAACAAGACTAAGGTTTTCAGGAAACAAATAATCCCTTTACAAAAAGTGCAGATTAGAGCATAAAGAACCATTTCCATATTGGACAGCCAGTTAGGTTTTCTCCCTGGAAAAGGAGCTCTGAGCCAGTATGGAAGGTGCTACAAGTGCAGTGTACTGACTAGTGTAAAGTGTAATGGAGCCATTTAATTTAAAAAAAAAAAAACAAACCCCAAACAACAGTGTTCATACTCTCTCTCTGAGGTTCATTAACCCTTTAAAAGAGTGCTTTATCCCCCCTCCCTTTTTACTTAAAGCCACAAACCAAAGTATTTAGGATTAATCGTCAATGCTACTGTGAGAAAGGCTTTGTCACAGAGGTTAGTGTTTGGGTATGCAGTGCTTACGTACACAGTGAAGACAAAAGAACCACTGATAGTTCAAATGTTAACAGCCACTACATGTTGCTGCAGGTTCATAGTTAAGGTTGGTTTCACTAATATTGATTAATAACACAGCCTACAGCCTGTGCCTTTGTCCACACGTGTAGTTACAATAAATGGAGCAGTGCTCAGCAGCAAGCAGTCAGGTACCCCTGATTTGGCCACAGCATTTAGTAGTTATATACCTTGCCATATGAACACAGTCATACTGGGTGTCATTAGAGGAGCATAATCTATTAATGATGTATCTGGAAGAAGTTTGGCATGCATGGGGCGTCAAAAGAAACTTTACTGCAGGTGCTATTTATCCTACAGGATCACAGTGCATAAACAGCAACAGAGTAGAGCATTTCCGTGATTTTACTCAAACAGTTCTGTCTGTCCCTGAGTGCTTTCTGACCACTTTGCTTCCCTGGACCTGATCCACTGCCAGCGTTTCAACCTCCGGCTGAGGCTGGGATGGCGTGACATGGTGGATGCGATGCGCCACCCCAATGTGTGCCTTGTGCGGCTTCTCTCGGGCTGGGCTGTGCGATTCACCGGATGCACGATCTGAAGCAATTGGTGGAATAACTAACGGCCTCTCCTTAATAAGATGTACCTCTGCCGTTTCCCTGGCCAACAGAAACGGAGTGGGATCAGGCATGGCATCCACAGGCTCTCTTAACAGCAGCTTCCGGCTATCCGATCCTATTCTGTAGGCCTCTTCAAACTCGGGGTTGAGTGGTGTTGACAGACTCTTCTTCATTCTGCGCCGTGGAGTCTCTGGCAGTTTATCTTTGGGAGGGGACGGCTTATAGTTGGACAACACGGGACTGCCAGAAGGGGTCCCCTCCGAAGTCCCGCTTGAACTCATCAGCTTCTTCTTAGTAGCATGCAGTTGAGAAGTTAAATAAGCAATAGTGCTCGCTCTCTGCTCTAGTTCGCTTGACAACATATTGAGCTTATGGCTTTTCATTTTTAACTCTTCCAAATACTTCTTTTCTCTTTCTTTAATAGTGTTTTCCAGCACCATTATCATCGCGTTCTTTTGTTCAAGTTCTTTCAGTAATTCATTATTTTCAGCCTCTTTGACTTTCAGCTGAGCTTCAAGATCTTCGCACTTTCTTTTGAGTTCATCACTTCTTGAACTCCCATTTCCTAGAAGAATGGGAAAAGCAGAAGCGTTTCAAGTTAACAATAGCCATTAAGCAAAATAGTGCAAGAGGGTTCCTTTTGCTATTCCAAAGCCGTAAGAAAAATCCCTAAGCCTAACTTCAGCTAATACTCTTAAAATGACTTCATCTTCAGAAGCACCAGGACAGCTTTTAAGGAAATGATGATGAGCTAGCGCTACTCACCATGGTTTAGCAGTGTTTAATACTGTTGATACTAAGTAGAGACGCTTCACATGTTCTGGGGAACAGGGATTACAGAAACCATGCTTGCTGAACTTGCTCGAAATTGGAGCCATTTTGCAAATCCTCTAGTTATCAAGAGGAACTTCAGCTTATTCAAGCTGAACTGAATTCAGTTGCTCTGCTGAATTTGCCCACGTTCTCTCTCATTTGCAATACACCTCTTGTCCCACACTGTCCCTGATCTGGGAGGTTACTCCCAGGCAGTATTTTATTCCTGTGCTTCACCTGTTGGTAACATAATACATCTGAAAGAACTAGAATCTAGTGTGTGTGTGTGTGTGTGTGTATAAAAAAAAAATAAAAGCTTTGTGGTGTAATTACAGTACCAGCTAAGTTTTAATAATAGTCTCACTCTTCTGCCCCTAAAATTCATGTCCCGTGTTCCCATATAGTGTGCACGGAACTGACTGTCTAGTCAGAGAGAGGAGTCAGCAGTTCTACACTCTATTCCTGGCTCTTTCAAAGATTTCCTACGTGGCCTTGGTAAAGAACTTGTGACATTTACTTCATAAATAACAGTAAGTCTGGAAAGTAGAAAACTACTCTTATACCTTTAGAATTTATAAAGTCAACATCCCAAGTGCAAAGTATTCTCACCTGCTTGTAATGGAGAAAATACAAACACTGAAAAAGGTGAGGAAGTTTAACATGAACGTTAAAAGAAAAATGCTACGTATTCCTTACCTGACAAGTCTGAACTCTTTACAGTCAGCTCATAGGTTAAATCTGAGGAAAAAAGTTGTTTATTTTTGTTAGAACATGATCATCTACCCCATACCCCACCCGGTGAGCATATTTACAACGCCATACTTCAATAAAAATATAACTAACTCTTCCCCCCACCTGAAGCAATAATAGGAGATCCACTGCAAATTATCAAATCTGTAAAACAACTGGAACCATCAGGTGACACATTGCTCTTTTTTTTAAAATTTTTGCTTAACGATCACACAGTTGTGCCCCGAGATACATGCTGATCACCCTAGATATACCCTGGTGCTGGGCTTTGTTGCTGAGGTTTCACTACTGAAGTAGGAAGCAGTTACACCATTCCTGTGAAAAGAATTAAGCACCGAATCAGCATCAGCATCCTCTCCCAGCTACCTGTGCAGTGCTGCTGCAGGCGTCGAATCTCCGCGTGCAGGCCTTTCAGGGTGTTGGCATGTTCTCGCTGGAGAAACAACAGATTCTTCTGGGCACTCTGTAGCTGGTTCTCCAGGTTTGAAGTTGCCATCCTGACATGCAGTCGCCCTGTCAGTAAACAGATGTAGAATTGTAACAGTGAGTTACCTTGCACATACAGAGATCCTCACTCTACAGCCAGGAACAGCTGAATTCTGCTATTAATGAAGTGATATGCAATCAAGCAAATGCCACAAAAGGTTTTTCTGTTTCATGACTGTTTCAATTAGAAGTGCTCTAAGTTCATAGAAAGCCTAATTATACTCTAGGCCAGAGCAGCATAGGGAACTCATTTGTTTGGAGTTAACACATTTAAAGGATTAACTTCAGACAGACTAAGTCACTAATGCTGTTACAAGATAAAAGTGGAGTTCTGAGAAATGGGCTAGCGTGTCCCTCTGTCTTGTTGGGGGTTTTCCACTTACTTCAGGGATACAGGAATTAGTAACACCCCTGGACAAGAACAAGGAAGAAAGCACTAAAGCGCACCACCTCTGAAGAGAAATGCAAAATGGGGAATCTAACACACGGCCAGGCCCAGCGGTACCGGCACAGACATGGGTGCTACAGGGCGCCTTAGCCGAGATGTGCTCACTGGGACCTCCAAAGCTCTGGCTGCTGTTGCATTTCCTCAGCCATGCTAGAGCAGGATCCCGTAGCCGGTGCCGGCCCCACGCTACGGGAGACCGATGTCCCACATGGGCCCGATGACATGGAACAAGACAATTGACAAGGACAATGTTTCATTTAAAGAGAAAAGAAACAGCTTTTTCTTGCTCAGGTTATGAATACATGGAAAACTGTTACACCGCTGGGTTTTCCTTGCGGAACAGCCTTATAAAACCAGGCCTTGACTACAGCAGTGCTCAGACTCAAAGATAGAAACGGTCAACTGTACGATGCCGAGGGGTGTTCTTGAAGACCCCTGCACTGCCAGTGTTACTGCTGCTCCTGATAAGGCAACAATGGTTTTACATACACCCACAGGCCAAAGCGCTAAGAAACATCTGTCTGGTAGAGCTGGAGATACAGACTCCCAAATGAATTCCCCGATACAGAGGTAAAAATAGCTCCTTGCACCAGGCGCAGCCAGATGCTTCCTGTGGAGGAGCACGCACTGTGCCCTGGGGCTCTCTTCTGTGAGATTTGAAGGAGTACCTGGAGGAGCATCCAGAGAAGCACAAACAGGGGTTACCGTGTCCCTAGTGATCTCTAGTCACCAAGTCCGTCATGACACGATTTTGTTTATTGTCCTGTTTCCTAGTGAAAATAAGTATACTAATGAGAAAAAGCAACGATGACAGCATGCAATCCTTGTGCAACCTGAAAGCACAGCAATCACTCGGGTGTACTTTTAGTTGTTCTTGAATTTCACTGTGTGATCATTACCACTCTGCATGCACAGAGGGCTGTGTCATGAGCAATGCTGCTACAGCCAGGGCGCATGGTGCTGCTCCACCTACAGCTGGTTATAGAGGCTGCTGGGTCTACATGAGAAGAACTTTCCAGAAACGTCTGTCCTTAACTCCACATTACTACACTTTAAATTTCTTTAGCAAGAAAGCTGTCACGCTTGGGCAACTTTCTGAAAACTCTGGGAAGTCAGCCACCTTCTTGGGCAGCTCAGGAGCGCAAAGACAGCACAAAAATAGGTGCACAGACAAATTCTAGAGAGCCAGGCTAACGGGGACGCCAGAGTGACAGGCAGTAGCACATACTGGGTGGGAATTACACAAGCAACGGTGGGAGAAATACTTTCAGGGGGACAGAGCAGCACAGGGAACTATGTCACAGCCCCTGGCCTACCACCAGGAGCGACGAGGAAAGGTTTGTCAAGTGCTTCTGCGCACTCCCCGTGCACAGCTGATGATCCAGCCTGTCGGGGCTGGGAGCCACAGCAGCCCTCTCCTGCTGCCACTGTAATCCAGCCAAGGAGGGGGGAGACCGATGAAGTCGTTAGGATGCTGGGTTAAACACTGCTGATACACGAGGAGCATCAGCTTTGTCATTACAGTACGAAAGGCTAAATTCAGTTATCATCTGTGTAGTTTTGTAAAAACAATTACAGTATTTAGGTTACAAAGATAAGCAAAGAATCAGGACTCCCGTTGCCTGGACAACCATCTGCAATGGCATTACAACCATGGTCTGTAATTACAGGACCACATGTTGTGCATAAGATAGAACTTAATTCTGTCCCGTGGCTGCCTCACAGGCATTTTAACGGTTTCGTCTTGCCGTATCAAGTGTTTTCCATTGGGCTCTTTTTCGTGTGTAGTTTTATGACAAAAATTTGATTCTACAAGTGCAGAATTGGTAGAGCATACACTCAGAGAAAGTAACACACTTTTGTCACTCCTGAACGTAACACAGCCCTGCATTTAATTTTATACTTTTTACTCCCCAAAAGAACACCAGACTCAGTGCTTCTGCGCCTCGGTAAAACATTTTTTTTTGGGGGTGGTGTGATGGTGTAAATAAATACACAGACACAGCCTCCCTGATTTCATGTGTGACCTTAACTGACATCATCATCAACTGACTTATACCTACAGAAGCACATATCTGATTGTAAAAAAAAATAAAGGCTAAAAGACTTTCAAGGAATCCAGTGCTGTGCAAGGGGCAAAACGGAGCTCTCGGTTACTCTGTAACAGAGATCAAAGATTAAATTCAGCACTCAAGAAGAATGAGGGTAACGGTGCCAACTTGTGCTTTGTTGAGTGGAACGGGTCATTTTGCAATCACCATCGTTAGCAAACAAGCAAAAATTAGGGACCAAAAATATTCTAAGAAGAGGTTTCAGGGTTGGCTAAATAAGAAATAAGCCGAGTTGTGCATACAGGCTCCTGCTCTACAACTTGTGAAGAGCGGCCCATCTGTGCCGCGACTGCTTTCCACAGCCCGGCCGCAGAGGCGCCGGGACACTCCATTACCACCACAGCGGTACCCCCTCACTGCCCACAGCGTCAGGGGACTACTTGAGGACAGACTACACGGTCCACAGCAACTACTGTGGGGCACCATTAGTTTTAAGGACTGATGATATTTTAGCTGTGTTACATTTTCAAAGTGACATCATCTTGTTTGCAAAGCTGACTTCAGACAGACAGAAGCTTTACTGAATTATCCAAGTACTTAAGTGATCGTTATACTCTTACCGACTGAATGTGACAGCAGAATAAAACCTGCGGAGTCCACGCCCTCACCGTAGCTGGTGCTCAGACTGCACGGTACACCGAGGCTCAGAAGGGATTTTTTTTAAATCAAGAAATGCATTTTCCAAAAGAAACTCTTAAGCACTGACAGTGCTAGGTGAAAGAATAGCCTACACATAATATCCTGAAGCCTTTACTATCACGATGGTTACTAATGGTAGCTTTACGCCTGTAATTATAATCTGAACAGAAAAAGACTTCATCACCAGCAACAAACAAAAAGTGTTTATAACTCAGTCCTTGCAAATAAATGCGTTTTTTAAAATGTTAGAAAATGTTAGAAAATTTAGTTTCTAAATGTTAGAAAAAGCAAAACAAGGCTGTCACTATTAATCTCCTCAATTGTTTTTTCACCTTGATCTCTTGCATCTTAAAGATCACACTATGATTACCTCTTATGAAGAAAAAATAAATAATCAGAGGCAGGCTAGGTCTATAGGCTTCGGAAGAAAATAAAAATTACCAGCACCAGAGCATCATCTTCCCTGCAGCACCAGTAAGTTAATCAGTGAGAGCAATTAAGTCAATCCCCTTTGAATTTTAGCTGCAGCCCTTCTGCACTAAGTAGTTTCTCTCCTCGGAGGATAAAGGATCGGAGGGCTGACTTTCCCACAAGCCTTCTGCAACCTTCCTATACTTCTCTTCCTCACTGCAGCCTTGTTGCCTGCCCCTCCTCTCTCCTTTTCTTCAAGGGAAAGGGAAGGCCACCGTGGTAAAGCCATAGCTTCCACAGAATTTATGGGCAGCAGCTTCAGTTCAAACCCCGCTCTACCCGGCCCTGTCACATCTTTTTAGCCAGCACATACAAACACTGCAATCCGTGCACGTGTGTTCTGGGCAACGGCCAAAACCATCTACCATAAAAACAGGGAAAGGGGAAAGCGTCTTGCATAGATAGTCACTGTACGGAGACACTTTTGCTATGAAATCTGCTTAGAGTTGTGCAAATTGGTATTACTGAGGATCTATTACAAGCCACTATTCACTTTGTACCTATTTTACACCAAATCTTAAACCACAAAAATCAGACCTAATGTTATTAAAGCCTGAGATCTGGACGAAATGGATTTCAAATGAATATGCATGATCTGTCAACTAAGCTCATTAGCACAATATTAAAAATATTTTTGATTGCTTTTGCAGCCATACTTATAAGGAAATTTCCATTGCACAAATGAGGGAAGGAAAAAACCTCTCATCTGCAGTCTGAACAGCTCTCAGATACCCACAATCACCTGCACTTCACCCCATTCTAAGTTCAGCAATATTTTTCCCTGTAGGAACATTTTTAGCCAGTGCCTAACGAAAAAGCTGGCCAAACTGCCACAGCAGAAGCCAACTAAAGAGAAAATATTTATCTTTCTAGAATAATACCAAATTGTTTTATGCCCCTAGAGATCATACAACTGAACCGGACACAAGAAGATTGAAAATATGGATAGGATATAGAGTAAGTCAGGCCAACAACCTAGCCAATTCACCTGGTGTTGGGCAAGTTTACTAAACAGACCATTTCTGAAGATCAGAAAGATGAGGTTAAAAGGAGGGGAAAAAGCCTCTCAGCATGACATCCCAGAAGAGTGCTCCTGAAAGCAGGAACTCAAGAGCAGGACACCAGTGGCACTCCCTCCAGGAAACATGGTGTTGCCATTACCTGTCTTAACAGGTGTGCAGCGTGCTACGTACAAAACGCAGTGCAGTTCATGCCTTACCACCACGCTATTTGTACTGCTTGCACAGCTTGGTCTGATTTCTCCAGCTATGCCAGTGGGGGGTTATTTTATTTTTCTTGCTTTGCTGGTGGCGGCTTGTGATTTTGGAATCGTTTACTATATGAAAAATA